GGGGGGGGGGCTATATAGGGTGTGGCTAGGGTTAGTTTCGGGAGGGGATTGACTGGTTGGGGTGGGGATGTGGCTGGTGGTGCTGTGGTCTGGGTGTAGGTCCTCTTGGTGTGGGTTCTCTCAGTGCAGGTCCTTGGGGAGGAGGTCTTGCAGTTCTGGGAAGGTGTCTCGCTGGTCTGGGTGGGGTGTCCGTTGCTCTGTTGCTCCTGTGTGAGGTGCTGGGGCTACGGTTGAGGGTGACGTCCTTCAGGGTCCTGGCAAAAGTTGGGAGTGCTGCCTTGTAGAGGTGGACCTGGTCGTAAAGGCTGTTCAAGTCCAGGGTGGAGTGGTGGGCCAGGTAGGCATTAGGTTTTGAGATACAGTCCCAGGAAATGCTTGCATTCACCCGCTGTATGGTGGCAAGGTGAATGTATTTTCGTGGTAGCAGGTTGGAGATAACCACTTGTGCGTTGGGGAAAGTGGAAGAAGCTTTTTCAATCACTCACTTGAGTGCTGTGGGCACCCTTTCCTGCTGGTCCCTAAGGTAAGTTTGTGCCCGTGTGAATTATAATGTGGCTGGGGGACCCTAGTCTGTCCTCTGACAACAGCTCTAGGGCATGCCTAGTGTTTGGGCACCAGAGTTTAGCCTCTTCGTGTTTGGGAAAAAGTGTATTCTCTTGAATGTATTTGCCACTTGAGTCAATGAGGAACACAATTTCTGGCTTTTGTGTGTCCTCAGTGGATGTGTGGGGGTTGTCAGGAAGACTATTGTGGGAGCTGACAGGGGTGCTGTTAGGAGGGGGTAGGGTCTGTTGGGTTGGTGGGTCCTGTATTGTCTGTCCCATTGTGGTGTTGAGGTTGTGGTCCGGGTCTGAGGTGGGCTGTTCTGCTGGCTTCTCTGGGGGAGTGTCCTGCTCTCTGTCACACCTCAGCTTTCTCACCTCCTCCTTCAGTGCTGTTAGCTGTGCCATGTGTTCCTCTCTCTCCTCCTTAAGTTCTCTCACCTCAGTCCAGAGTGCAGCCAGCTCTTTCAGACAGCTGTCCATCTCCACCTTCAGCCCTCTGGGTCTTGTTGGGGGGGGGGGGGGGGGGGGGGGGGGGGGTCTGTTTTGTGGGTCTGTTCTGTCTGGATTGTGTGGACTAGCTCTCTGAGCTCCACCATATCTCTCTACAGCTCTGTGAATTTATCCTCTCAATAATGGAGGAGCAGTGCAGTTGTGGGACCTGGGTGTGTTCAGTGCTGGGGGGGTATATATCCTCCTCTGCAGGACAGTTTGAAGAGGTGTGATCAGACTCACTCAGGATGGGGGAGTCGTCACCGAGAGAGAGCTTTTCCTTTCTTAGTCATTTTAGCAGACGCTCTTATCCAGAGTGACTTACAGTTAGTGAGTGCATACATTATTTATTATTTATTTTTCATACTGGCCCCCGTGGGAATCGAACCCACAACCCTGGCGTTGCAAACGCCATGCTCTACCAACTGAGCTACATCCCTGCCGGCCATTCCCTCCCCTACCCTGGACGACGCTGGGCCAATTGTGCGCCGCCCCATGGGTCTCCCGGTCGTGGCCGGCTATGACAGAGCCTGGATTCGAACCAAGATTCTAGTGGCACAGCTAGCACTGCGATGCAGTGCCTTAGACCACTGCGCCTACTGCCCTTCTCTTTGATCCCATAAAAGTCCTGCTGGAACTGCTTGAGGATGCCCTGCACCATTACTGTCCCAGACTTGTACACGTTGACAGAGGTTGTTTCAATTTCCTCAATGTCTAGTATTCTGAGTTTCCACCCTTGTCCAATACCCTCTCTCTTGACATAGGGGTAGTGTGCTCTTATAGCACTGTGCCATGCCAGGGGATGGTCTGTGTGGAAAATTAAGTTGCTTACATTCCCCTCTTTTAGCAGTCAGCAAATAGTGTCTCTGGATTGTCCTTGAGGAGATTATTTTTGTACTTATTCCATGCAGTGTTATTTTTAATATCCAAGAGGTAACTGTACTGTGATGACCTGTGTACAGGGATAAGCAATAGCGCAGGGGGCTTCAAAGGCCTCTGCATTTGGTTGGGGGAGGCTGTGAAACTCTCCTGCTCAAGAGTTTTCACACTTCTCACTTCACACTTCAGTGCTAATTGAAGTTGCAGCCATGTCTGTTCTGTCCTAGCAGCTTGGTAGCTTAGTAGCCTTATTTACTAAGCTCTATATAACAAAATTATCTAGAGATTATTGTCTTTTACATTTTGGCTTCAGAAGTAGCTTCAGACTGAACATTACTCACTCAGTTTTGTGTTGGATGGTATTTCCAGGTTTCCGCTGTGTTTCTTCTGCAGGTTTTGGTTTGTTAGAAGTTTTTTCTTGATAGTCCTTGGTAGTAAGAATCCTTTCAGGTAATTTTGTCCAAAATCAATGTTTTAGGTATGGAATTTTGATTTGGTTTGAAGGTCTTGATGTAGATGGTAGAATCCTGTATAAGTCCTTGCGGAAAAAAAATCAAAGTTTATCTATATTTATCCAACTACAATTATATTTTTTGCAGAAAAACTCAGGAGCCCATGAGCTCATGAGCTCATGATCTCTCTTTCTCTCTCAATTCAATTCAAGGGACTTTATTGGCATGGGAAACATACACTACCGTTCAAAAGTTTGGGGTCACTTAGGAATGTCCTTGTTTTCGAAAGAAAAGCCATTTTCTTGTCCATTAAAATAACATCAAATTGATCAGAAATACAGTGTAGACATTGTTAATGTTGTAAATGGCTATTGTAGTTGGAAACGGCTGATTTTTAATGGAATATCTACATAGGCGTACAGAGGCCCATTATCAGCAACCATCAGTCCTGTGTTTCAATGGCACGTTATGTTTGCTAATCCAAGTTTATCATTTTAAAAGGCTAATTGATGATTAGAAAACCCTTTTGCAATTATGTTAGCACAGCTGAAAACGGTTGTGCTGATTAAAGAAGCAATAAAACTGGCCTTCTTGAGACTAGTTGAGTATCTGGAGCATCAGCAATTGTGGGTTCGATTACAGGCTTAAAATGGCCAGAAACAAATAACTTTCTTCTGAAACTCATCAGTCTATTCTTGTTCTGAGAAATGAAGGCTATTCCAAGCGAAAAATTGCCAATAAACTGAAGATCTCGTACAATGCTGTGTACTACTCCCTTCACAGAACAGCGCAAACTGGCTCTAACCAGAACAGAAAGAGGAGTGGGAGGCCCCGGTGCACAACTGAGCAAGAGGACAAATACATTAGAGTGTCTAGTTTGAGAAACAGTCACCTCACAGGTCCTCATCTGGCAGCTTCATTAAATAGTACCCGCAAAACACCAGTCTCAATGTCAACAGTGAAGAGGCGACTCCGGGATGTTGACCTTCTAGGCAGAGCTGTAAAGAAAAAGCCATATCTCAGACTGGCTAATAAAAACAATAAAATATTAAGATGGGCAGTCTGAGATATGGCTTATGCAAAAGGGAGCACAATAAAAAGTATAATATACATTCCTCACTCTCCAACCAAGGTGAACACAATCTATATGAAAACACACTTGATACTTATCCTGAGTGTACAAAACATTAGGAACACCTTCCTAATATTGACTTTGAATACAAGACTGGGAGAGGATTCTTCACACCACCCAGGGTTTCTTATCAAGACCTGATTGAATGGGGTGATCAGTCCTTGGTTCCAAATATTGGGGAAGATGTCTCTGTCCCTCTCTCTGTCCCTCTCTCTCTCTCTCTGTCTCTGTCCATCTCTCTCTCCCTCTCTTTCTCTCTGTCTCTGTCCCTCTCTCTGTCCCTCTCTCTGTCTCTGTCTCTGTCCCTCTCTCTGTCCCTCTCTCTCTCTGTCTCTCTCTGTCCCTCTCTCTGTCCCTCTCTCTGTCCCTCTGTCTCCCCTACCCCCTTCCCTCCACTTCCTATCTGCTTTGCTGATATGATAAATCTCGTGCAGCAGATTATGGGGATAACGAAGTAATCAACTCTCTCTCTCACTCACACACACAAATCATATTTACATTGGCATTGATTATGAGAAAGGATTTCAAGTCAGAAATACAGTAGGATATTGTAATTCATTCGGAATAATTAAAGTCAAAGCAAATACAACCACAAACCACTTACAGCTACAGAGGTAATTGCCAGATCTCTAATACTTTTGCCAGTTTCCCAATGTTTTTTATTTTTTTTATTTTAGGGGATAGATCAGCTTTAATAGTGCAGATAGATTGTAGATTCCATCAACATAATTGTCTACATCATTTCCAATCCCCCATATATTTTTTTGTAAATATATATATACATATTTTGTAAATATATGTTCCTTTATTATTTTCCCCTAACCCTACCCACCCCTCCCCTTATTGGAGTAAACTAATGGACAACAACACTTAGGCTTCTACTTCCAGCTTATACATACTCTATATACATTTTACGGACACAATGCACCTTATGACAGTTATCTTTTTTTGGTTTTTAATCCCATCCCTAGCCAGTTTTCCTTAGCTAAAGCATAGGAGTTGGCTAAAGTATGTACACATCTGGCAACCAGGCTAGATTGCAGGTTAAATGCAAATGCCAGTGTGTTGCTTTGACTCCCATTATTTCTCTGTATCTTAACATGAAGAAAATAGTCAAATGAACACTCATTGTATTCTGTGTTTGAACTGGAAACCTAGTCTATATTTATTATTGTTTCAGAAGTCGGAAATGACTTTCTGACCTTCTCCTCAGCATTGCTTTTTAGTGTCTGTGTTTACAGGCAACAGGGGAATTAGCTCTCATTGCTCTAACTTGTGCTCTCCATCTTGTTTCCTTTCTGCATCATTACTATGAATAAGTGATCCGGCTAGCCTGTTAAGAGGCAGTGGATTAGCTGACGCTAAGTGCCTCCACACTTGAAACACACACACACACACCCGCCCCTTCTCTTCCTAAGAAATAGAGAAAGTGTTATCAGTTGAACCCTGCCCCTCAGTTCCACATGTAAACAGGCTGTATATAAAAGGTTGGACCCATAGAATATGTCTCTACCTCTTGCAGCGTGTGTGTGTGTGTGTGAGCAAAATCCCCATAGACATATACAGGGCATACACAGTAACACAAACCCAGCCGGTGCCAAGATGCCTGCAGACTTCAACGGACAATGGGTGATGGTCACCAATGAGAACTTTGAGGATATCATGAAGGCCATTGGTAAGCTGTTCTTCTAATGTCTGTTGGAAAATAGGGACCCGAGATACAGAGAGATACAGACAGGCAGAGAGAGACGGTGGAGAGGGAGGGAGGGAAGGGGTGTAGAGTAGAGAGGGAATTGACAGAGAAAGAGTGTGTTGTGTGTGCATGCGTATGTGCATATGTCAATGTGTGTGTGTGTGTGTGTGTGCACAAGTGTGTCTGATAGAGAGGGGGATGTCGGAGATAACGTTTGTGTAAAGACTTTATTTAAGTGTGTTAGTGAGTGAGATTGTGATAGACAGCGAGAGTGTGTGTGAGAGAGTGAGTGAGAGAGAGAGAGAGAGAGAGAGAGAGAGAGAGAGAGAGAGAGAGAGAGAGAGAGAGAGAAAGGATTCAGTGCGGCTTCATTTACTTATTGAGCTGCTGTCATGGCGACTTAACCTCGACTGTTTGTGGGAATGGCTTCTGCTTGTTACCAGGTCGAATAAAAATAGATTTACTCTTTTATGCATTTTTATCCTCCCCATTCCGGAGAATAAAAAATCTCATCCTGAGCTCTGCCAAGCAGCGTCGGGATGTTGCTGGCAAGCAAAGGCCCCTATCCATCCATTCAGCATGGTGTTGATCAACCACAAGTATTTTATTATTCATGACTTTATCTGCAATTCATATCCCCTCCCGCTCAACCCAGAAAATCCCCCCAAAAACAAATCCAAGGCGTCTCATTCCGTGCCACTCTCTCATTTCCATGAGCGGATCGAAAATTACATCCGTATGGGAGGGAGAAAAATATTTGGATGGGTGAATAAAAGAGCTTCATCAAAAAGAGAGACGGGTAGAAATTGAATTTACACTTTGTGGCCAATGCAATATGAATATCAAAATGGAAGAGGTGGTCTCTTTTGCAGGCTCACATTTACCTTATTTAGCTCTATTGCTGGTACAAGGCCATTTTTAAAGAGTGAATGAGAGCTGTCAACAGAGCTGGCCTGAGTGGAATGTTAATTCTAGGACTTGAGCTGGAGTCTCATAACTGAAGAGGAGGACTGGTGGCTTATGCACAAGGGAGCACAATAAAATGTATACTACACATTCCTCACTCTCCAACCAAGGTGAACACAATCTATATGAAAACACACTTGATATTTATCCTGAGTGTACAAAACATTAGGAACACCTTCCTAATATTGACTTTGAATACAAGACTGGGAGAGGAGTTGCACCCCCTTTTACCCTCAGAACATCTTTAAATGTTTACATTGTTGTTTCACTGTGTTTCCTCCAGATATTGACTTTGCCACCCGTAAGATCGCCGCCCACCTGACCCAGACCAAGGTGATCGTCCAGAACGGAGACATGTTCGAGACCAAAACCTTGAGCACCTTCAGGAACTACGAGGTCAACTTCACCGTCGGGGAGGAGTTTGAGGAGGTCACTAAGGGACTGGACAACAGGACGATCCAGGTAGGACCACAACCACTATGACCACGTCAGAGAGACACTGTCACTGCACTCAGTCCTAACCGGCTCCAAACCCTAACCTTTACCCTCTCCATCATGTTCTCTCCTTTTAGTCTATTCCACCATTTTTTATAGGTTTTCATCTCCTGCTTTCCCCTGAGTTTGTTAATGCATATGGTATGGTGACATAGCCCTCACACACATAGCCCACAATCCAAGCATCTTAAAAGGTTTGGTGCAGTCTCTCTCAGATTAGAAAACAATAGACAGCCATAAGCACTGCTGTGGGTTGTTGACCCTGGATTTATGGAAACTTACACAAATGTATTCAGCCTGGACTCAGGGGTAGACGTAACATAGCAAGCAAAAATCCGGGACACTCAAATTAGTATGATATGTTACATTTGGTATGGTATGTATTAATTTATGGATATCCAACATCCATTTCGTATGATATGTTACAAATTACAATTCGTATGATATGTTACGAATTACAATTAGTACACACAACCTTTCGGTTGCCAGACGTTCACGTAATATGCCCACTCATCCACCCCGACCAACTACCCTCCTTTTGTTTTTGCCTTAAGTAACCTTCTGTCTTATGTAACCATACCAAACGTAACATATACTAATTTGAGTGTCCCAGATTTTTGTTTACTATGTTACGTCTAGTCTATGCTACCGGCCTGATATCGTAGCTGTGGGGCATTTGGGCAAATGTGTGTCTACGGTACGCTGACTGTTGTGTGTGTGTGTGTGTATGTGTGTGTTCTTCAGACACTGGTTACCTGGGATGGAGACAAGTTGGTGGCTGTGCAGAAGGGAGAGAAGGCCAACCGTGGCTGGAAGCATTGGATAGAAGGAGACCTGCTATACCTGGTGAGAGAGAGGAAGATGGAGGGAGGGGGGTTAGAGACAGACAAGAGAGAGAGAGAAATGTCCTAGACTTCAACTTGAACATACAGAACATTACAGGTTCTTCATACCTAAGACAACAGAAGCTCTATTCCCCAAACTCAACTCTAAGGGGAACAATGAAAAAATGCAGTGGAACTGGCTTCGAGGTCCAGAGTTGAGTTTAAGGGTTTATGTTATTTGATTGTCTCATTGTCTTTCTGTCCATCTCTTCTTCTTTCAGGAGATCCACGTTGAAGACAAAGTCTGCAAACAAGTATTCAAGAAGAAACCCTGAAACATCTGACATAACCTTATTTATTGTAACATTACCTTCATGTGTTTCTGCCTGCATAATTATGTTATGTATTTATGATGTGATCGTACATACATTTAATAAATACTTAATTCAACCCAAGCAGATGGGATGCATTGACTTTGGTCTATAAATTACAGTTTTTCTCGATTGCTAAGACACATTTCTTGAAAGCTGCTCTCCTTTTCTCTTAACTGTGAACACAAAACCCAATTTTCAAGCTACATTCACAAAACCTCAGACTCTTCTTGCAAAACCAAACTTTCACCTCAAAACAGTTCAATCTGTGCTCAAAACTGAACTATGTTGTCAAATCGTGCCCCGAGTCAATCAAAATAAAAAACACTACTGAACAGTCACTAAACACTACGTAGAAAAATAGAAAACACAATGCTCAGGACATGAAGCTGGAGAAATAAATGTTTATTGTTCACTGTAGGCTAAATGTGCCGAAATCTTGTGCATTTACATGTAGCACTTGTAAAAACAAACAGAAATCTTGTGCGTTTGCCACTTGTGTACAGTAAGCCCATGTAAAAATAAAGTACAAAAATATACAAATAAGTGCATTACTCAGCCACAGCATCATGTCTCCGTACTGGGTCAGGCCACAGGACTTCATCCACATCACAGGCCACATTTTGTCTGGCCAGGCAACGGGGGAAAAAAACCCCTGGCATGCCGTATCCAGGCTTGGCATGCCTCCACACCTATGTCACCACAGGCAAGTCCCATGGCTTGCAGGAGATTTACCCTGGTGTAAGGTTGGCGTTCATATACCTTCCACCGCCATGAGGAGAAGAATTCCTCAATGGGGTTTAGGAAAGGGGAGTACGGTGGAAGGCAAAGATTGATAAAACCTTGGTTCATATTGTACCACTCTCTAACCTGGAGGGCTCTGTGAAAACTCACATTGTCCCAAACAACAACATAGATGGGATGCTCATCCTGCTGCCCTAACAAAGCATCTCGCATGTGATTGAGGAAAATGAGGAGCTGGTGAGTGTTGTAGGGCCCCAGGTTGGCATGATGGTGGACAACCCCATGATTGCTGATGGCAGCACATAATGTGACATTGCCACCACGCTGCCCAGGAACACCAACAATGGCCCGATGGCCAATCACATTACGGCCTCTCCTTCTCCTTTTGGTGAGATTAAACCCAGCTTCATCCATGTAGACGTATTGATGGGGTCTTTCCATTGCATCCAGTTGAAAAACCCTCTGTAGAAATAGATATAGTTTTGTAAGTGATACGGAAAAAGTGATTTAGGCCACTACAGTAAATCACTACTTAGAGTAATCAACATTGAATGTGTCTGGATATATGCCAACCTGTACATACTGGAATCTTTGCTCTTTGACTCTGTCTGAGTTGCGATCAAAGGGCACTCTGTATAGCTGTTTCATGCTCAGTCTGTTGCGCTTGAGGACACGATCAACAGTAGAGGCTGACACTGTTGATACCCTCAAAATTTTAATGGTCCTCAATGATCTTCTGCTGAATTTAGCTCAGTTTAATGGCATTGTTCTCACGGACCATATCAACAATTAGGGTCTCTTGGTGTGGGGAGAACATACCTGTCCTCCCACCCCCATGTGGCAGTCTTTCAATTCTACAAAAAGAGAACATGGAGTTACAAAAAATATACATGGAATACTAGGCCTACAAACAGTTAGACCAACCCTCCATTACAATACTACAGTACATTGGTACAGTGATGTACTGAAACATATATTTACTTACAGTATACTGTGGTACAGTATATAGTATGTCATACAGTAATTGCTGTCAACATTTACATACTGTACTATAATGTCAAAAAAAGGTAATTACCTGTTCTCTTCTCTAAATCTTCGGATTATGGTGGACACAGTGAATCTACTGATGTTTGGTTGTACCCTTTGTCCAGCCTCCCTCATGCTCATACCATGGACAAGAACATGGTCAATCACAGTAGCTCTGATTTCATCAGATATTACTGTTCTTTGTCTTCGCTGACCACCTCGACCACCTCGACCTCCTCTCACACGAACTCTTCCTCTCAGATTTCTATCCATTGTAGGGCCTCACAAACCAGTGCTCTCTGAACTGGCTTACTGTATATGTTCCCTCACATCATTAGCCACAAGTGTGATCAATTTTGAGTTGTTGTGTTCAAGTGGTGACACATGTGCTCTAATTGTGTTTGACTTTTGTCACCTGTGCTCACCATTATGCAGCACGGGTGCATCACAATGAAAATGTGTTGGCAAGTTATGTCTAAACAGGTGAAAAGTGCTTATGGTTTTGCCAAAAGAGTGATTAATTCAATCAGTGGGTTCAGGCAACTGAGCATTTGGTTCAGACAATAGGGTTTAGTGTTTTAGCAATTGAGAAAAAGGTAACAGTACTTGCAAATAAACACAAACAATATTAACTTTTAAAAACATAACATACTGTAACTTCTCAAATTAGCATGTTATTGTGAGAGTACAGAACTATCAATCGAAAACATTGTACATTGTACAGTAGATGACCAGAAGAAGACATATATGAATAGCGTACAGTATACGTTGTTAATCAGTTGGGTTGTGAAGGCCTGCGACCTTCTCTCCTACTTCACAAGGACAGATCTAAGTGATTATCATTGACAGAACACCAGGTCACCAGGTCTACGGAACCTTTGAACATGCAACAGTGAGGAGGTGTGGACTTTGAATACTGGGAGAGGATTCCTCACACCACCCAGGGTTTCTTATCAAGACCTGATTGATTTGAAAACCTCAACAGAGGCTGCAGTTAAATGATTTAAAGTAGAACACATCAACCATAAAGCATCATAAGCATAGAGCTGGGAGCATATAACATTCTAATTGTTATCACACAAGTATGTGATTGCTTAGTTGGTTGGAAGGTGCTTCTTGCAACACCAGCATGGATGTATCTCTGCATGGACTGTACAGGGTAAGCCTAATACACATCTGCAAACTATTCAGTCATCAAGTTAGTGTATTTATACACATAGGAAACAGGGAGATAATTTGTACAAATAGGACATTTGTGAATGTTTAAGATGTTCAAATTAATTATTATCTTTATTATTCATTCATTTATTCGTTTTTATTAATATATATATTTTTTGAAGGGGTGAGTAAGTAGCCTACATGCAATTACCTGAGTTTGCCTGTAGCCAGCATCCGTCCATACATTTCTCTGTAACCTACATACAGACTGCATAGTATGGTCATGTTAGGTACAGCCTGGACAAGTTCTCTACCGGATCTTGTGAAGTGCAGCCAGGAAGCTCCATAGAATCCACGTCGCCAAGAAGACTCTCCGCTCCAAACCAGTCTACCAGCCCGACTTGTGTCTCAGGGTGGCCGGGCACTTTGAGCAAACACTACCCGCAGACGTGGAAACATGGTAAGGAACTTAAAACATTGATTTAGAATGAAGATCTGCCGCCGCTCAGGGCAGTAGATTTACAGTGGGGAAAAAAAGTATTTAGTCAGCCACCAATTGTGCAAGTTCTCCCACTTAAAAAGATGAGAGAGGCCTGTAATTTTCATCATAGGTACACGTCAACTATGACAGACAAAATGAGAAAAAAAATCCAGAAAATCACATTGTAGGATTTTTAATGAATTTATTTGCAAATTATGGTGGAAAATAAGTATTTGGTCAATAACAAAAGTTTCTCAATACTTTGTTATATACCCTTTTTATTTATTTATTTATTTAACCTTTATTTAACCAGGAAGGGCTCATTGAGATTTAAAATCTCTTTTTCAAGAGCGTCCTGGCCAAGATAGGCAGCACCAAGTCATTACAAAAAATTACAGACAGACAACATGAAAAACGACAAGTAATCTAGTAAAAACCATTCATGAATTCACAAGAGCATAACAATATCAAAAACAGCAAATTAAAGACATTGACAGGTCAGGGAATCAGCCTCAAAATCCTTCATCAGAGATTTAAAAACACCAATCGGGACAAGTTCTTCCAGTTTAAAATTATTTTGTAAGGTGTTCCAAGACGATGGCGCAGAGTACATAAAATACCTTTTACCAAATTCAGTTCGGACATTTGGAACAGTTAGCAGGATAAAGTCCAGTGAACGAAGAGAGTACCCACCACATTTCTGAACAATAAAAATGCCCAAATAAAAAGGTAGTAAACCCAAAATGGCTTTGTAAATAAAAGTATACCAGTGACTGAGCCTACGAGTGACTAGAGAAGGCCAGCCAACCCTGGTATACAAAGTACAGTGGTGCGTAAGGGTTTTGCAGTTTAAAATAAATCTCAAAGTACCATGATAAAGAGTGTCAATTGATCTCAAACACTGAGCGGAAGCATTCATATATAAAATATCCCCATAGTCTAGTAAAGGCATAAATGTAGCTGATACTAGCCTCCTTCTGGCTTCAAAAGAAAAACAGGCCTTATTCCTAAAATAAAATCCCAATTTCAGCTTCAATTTTTTTGTAAGTTGTTGAATATGCAATTTAAAAGAGAGGCCGTCATCAATTAGAATTCCAAGATATTTATATGAGGTTACAACCTCAATCTCCTTGCCCTGACAGGTAGTAACAGGTGAAAGGTTCAGAGGTCTATTTCTTGCATTAGAAAACACCATTAGTTTAGTTTTGTCAGTATTGAGGATAAGCTTCAATTGACACAAGGTATGTTGAACAGTATAAAAAGCAGTTTGCAAGTTCTGGAAAGCTTTTGTAAGAGATGAGGCACAACAGTAAATAACAGTATCATCAGCATAAAAATGAAGTTGTGCATTTTGGACATTTTTGTCTAAATCATTAATATAAATAGTGAATAAGAGAGGACCAAGTACAGAGCCCTGGGGCACACCATTCAGGACAGACAATTTAACAGACATAAGCCCATCAAATTGAGTGCACTGAGTTCTATCAGACAGATAGTTAGCAAACCATGCAACTGCATGCTCCGAAAGACCTACACTCAACAATCTCTGCCTTAGTATAGCATGATCAACTGTATCAAAAGCCTTAGAGAGATCAATAAAAAGTGAGACACAGTGCTGTTTTTTGTCAAGGGCTTCAGTGATATCATTTAAAACCTTCATGGCTGCTGTAATTGTGCTATGCTTCTTCCTGAAGCCCGATTGATACATTGATAAAATAGAGTTAGTAAATAAAAACTCTTTTAGCTGTTCACTTACAAGGGTTTCAAGTATTTTCACCAGGGGTGACAGCTTTGAGATTGGCCTATAATTATTTAAAAGAGTTGGATCTCCCCCTTTTAAAAGTGGTAGGACAAATGCTGATTTCCAGATCTTTGGAATTTCATTACATTCCAGGGTTAGATTGAACAGATATGTAAGTGGTTCAGCTATGAAATCAGCTGCCAGATTTAAAAAGCAGGGATCCAAAAGATCAGGACCTGCAGGCTTTCTTTGATCTAAGGATTTCAGGGCTTTATGTACCACCTGCACTGAGAATGGCAGAAAACTAAAAGTTTGACCAGCTCTCACTGGTTCATCCACACAGGGTTGTACAGAGACAGAGGACACTGGTTCATCCACACAGGGTTGTACAGAGACAGAGGACACTGAATCAAACAGCCTACCAGATGATACAAAGTGCTCATTGAAACAATTCAGCATTTCAGTTTTGTCATATATAGCAACAGAGTCCTTCAAAACACATGACGGTAATTCATTAACATTACTGTTACCAGACATAGACTTAATAGCATTCCAAAACTTTCTAGGGTCATTCAGGTTATCAGTGGTAACAGACATAAAATATTCAGACTTGGCCTTCCTGAGAAGAAAAGAACACTTGTTTCTTAACTGCCTAAAAATAAGCCAATCAGCATCAGAACAAGATTTCCTTGCTTTAGCCCAGGCTAGATTACGGTCATGAATAATACAAGACAGCTCAGAAGAAAACCATGGATTATCCCGCCCTTTAACCCTGAACCTGCGGAATGGTGCATGTTTGTTTACTATTTGGAAAAAACCATCATGAAAGAATATCCAGGCAGTTTCCACATCAGGGATAAGCTCAATCTTGCTCCAGTCAAAATAAAACAAATCATGAAAGAAAGCCTGCTCATTAAAACACTTCAAATTTCTCTTACGAATAAAACATGGATTTGTCTTTGGAACCTTAGTATTTCTAACAGCAACAACAGCACAATGGTCACTTAAATCATTACAAAAAACACCAACCGCAGAATATTTATGTGGAACATTTGTCAATATCAAATCAATCAGGGTAGATTTATCAGGGCATTTAAGATTTGGGCAATGACACAGGTCAAACGTTTTCTGTAAGTCTTCACAAGGTTTTCACACACTGTTGCTGGTATTTTGGCCCATTCCTCCATGCAGATCTCCTCTAGAGCAGTGATGTTTTGGGGCTGTCGCTGGGCAACACAGACTTTCAACTCCCTCCAAAGATTTTCTATGGGGTTGAGATCTGGAGACTGGCTAGGCCACTCCAGGACCTTGAAATGCTTCTTACGAAGCCACTCCTTCGTTGCCCGGGCGGTGTGTTTGGGATCATTGTCATGCTGAAAGACACAGCCACGTTTCATCTTCAATGCCCTTGCTGATGGTTTTCACTCAAAATCTCACGATACATGGCCCCATTCATTCTTTCCTTTACACGGATCAGTCGTCCTGGTCCCTTTGCAGAAAAACAGCCCCAAAGCATGATGTTTCCACCCCCATGCTTCACAGTAGGTATGGTGTTCTTTGGATGCAACTCAGCATTCTTTGTCCTCCAAACACGACGAGTTGAGTTTTTACCAAAAAGTTCTATTTTGGTTTCATCTGACCATATGACATTCTCCCAATCCTCTTCTGGATCATCCAAATGCACTCTAGCAAACTTCAGACGGGCCTGGACATGTACTGGCTTAAGCAGGGGGACACGTCTGGCACTGCAGGATTTGAGTCCCTGGCGGCGTAGTGTGTTACTGATGGTAGGCTTTGTTACTTTGGTCCCAGCTCTCTGCAGGTCATTCACTAGGTCCCCCTGTGTGGTTCTGGGATTTTTGCTCACCAATCTTGTGATCATTTTGACCCCACGGGGTGAGATCTTGCGTGGAGCCCCAGATCGAGGGAGATTATCAGTGGTCTTGTATGTCTTCCATTTCCTAATAATTGCTCCCACAGTTGATTTCTTCAAACCAAGCTGCTTACCTATTGCAGATTCAGTCTTCCCAGCCTGGTGCAGGTCTACAATTTTGTTTCTGGTGTCCTTTGACAGCTCTTTGGTCTTGGCCATAGTGGAGTTTGGAGTGTGACTGTTTGAGGTTGTGGACAGGTGTCTTTTATACTGATAACAAGTTCAAACAGGTGCCATTAATACAGGTAACGAGTGGAGGACAGAGGAGCCTCTTAAAGAAGAAGTTACAGGTCTGTGAGAGCCAGAAATCTTGCTTGTTTGTAGGTAACCAAATACTTATTTTCCACCATAATTTGCAAATAAATTCATAACAAATCCTACAATTTTTTTTTCTCAATTTGTCTGTCATAGTTGACGTGTACCTATGATGAAAATTACAGGCCTCTCTCATCTTTTTAAGTGGGAGAACTTGCACAATTGGTGGCTGACTAAATACTTTTTTTCCCCACTGTAGGCTATTATTTTTCATTGAGAGGTGTATTGCTTTTTTTTACGATTGTTAACCGATTGAAAACGTAAATGTACACCACATCCAATGAATTAGCTTATGCCTTGCTAGTTGTGAATGATCGAGCATTTGAAGATATTGCAGAAACTCGAGAAATGGCAACAGTGTAACAATAACAATATGGTATTCAAAAGAGTCATGAAGACTCCGATCAATTGGTAATCTAAGAGCAGTTACAAAATATGCTAGTACTTCAATCTGCAACTTTATATAAATACTTTTTTCTAAACTACTTTATCGCAAATGGCTACTTCCTGGGAATTCTCAGATCAGAGCAAGTCATTCATGCACCTCAAATGTGGTGGAATGAGCTTCAGTAAACAGACACGCCCCCATATTAAACAGCTCCACATGCTGAACAGTTGATGTGGTTCCACTTTGTGTAACGTTGTATCTACAGTAGGCCTACAAGCGTATAGCTGCTAGAGGTCGGATATACTTAAAGTTTTATTGATAGTCAGACATTAAAAAGGTAAGTGCATCCTACCAGTTTCTTTCAAAACACACTTGTCTCAAATCTGGTCTCTGTCAAATCAGATGTTTTATTTCTTGTTCCCGTTCAACTGATCTGCATATAAATAGGAGTAAAGAGGCATCTGGTTAATATCAAAATAAAATACTGTGTCTTGTATTGGTTAAAGGAGGAGTAAGAGGTAGATTATGACTTAATAAATTGGGTTATCTCCCTCTGTCCCTCTCAGTCACTCCGGTTGGACATCAAGCGGAAGCTGACCGCTCGATCAGACCGTGTGAAGAGTGTGGACCTGCACCCATCTAAACCATGGATGATTGCCAGCCTGTACAATGGCAGTGTCTGTGTCTGGAACCACGAGACACAGGTATACGACATTCATTCTCATTTAATTTGTTAGGATTCAGCCCTTATTCATTTATTCATTGTAGACCTTGCTGCAGGTTATGTTCTTGAGTGAAATATGAATGGATTGTTTCTCTATGATGATGATGACCATGAGGCTGATGCTTCGTTTGAATCCCATGTCTATGTAGACCCTGGTGAAGAAATTTGAGGTGTGTGGCCTGCCTGTGAGAGTGGCTAAGTTTGTAGCCAGGAAGCACTGGGTCATCGCTGGAGCAGTAAGTGTTATAACACCCTTATAACTGCTTATAATGCATCTATCTATCCTATTCTATTCAGAGTTCAATGTTTTCTCATATCTCTCTCTCTGAATGCTGCAATATTTTGACCTTCTCCAGCCTCTCTCCCTTCACCTTCTCCTCACCCTCTCTCTCGCTCTTCTCTGGTCCTCCCCAGGATGACATGCAGATCCATGTGTTTAACTACAACACTCTGGAGAGAGCTCACGTTTGAGGCCCACTCTGACTACCTCCGCTGCATCGCAGTCCACCCAACACAACCTTATATCCTTACCAGCAGTGGTATGTTGTGTTTATGTCTGTCTGTCTCTTTTTCTCTCCCTCACCCTCTCTCGCTCTCTATACATACATACATACATACATACATACATACATACATACATACATACATACATACATACATACATAAATTACAAACATCAACCATAGAATATTGTGAACATGATCATGTGTGTGTGTCCAGATTACATGCTGATCAAGCTGTGGGACCGGGACAGGAAGTGGGTGTGTGGTCAGGTATTCGAGGGCCACACCCACTATGTCATGCAGATTGTCATCAACCCTAAAAACAACAACCAGTTCACCAGCGCCTCCCTGGACAGGACCATTAAGGTACATACAGTACACACACACACACACACACACACACACACACACACACACACATCTTTGTGCTTGTAGCACTACAGTTGTTGGTTTGATTATTATTATTATGTTGAAGTGCTTATAGATGTGTAATATATGTTTCATGAATTATATACAGTTGTTGTAAGTCGTTACCACTGCACTTCAGTAATACACTGACGTATTATTTGGCCCTTGGCTGTTGCAGGTGTGGCAGCTGGGTTCTTCCACCCCTAACTTCAGTCTGGAGGGCCATGAGAAAGGAGTAACCTGTATTGACTACTACAGTGGAGGGGACAAGCCCTACCTTATATCAGGAGCTGACGACCACCTGGTCAAGATCTGGGACTACCAGGTACACAGTTTATATGCACATGTACACACAGTTTATATACACATAGTTTATATGCACATGTACACACAGTTTATATGCACATGTACACACAGTTTATATACACATAGTTTATATGCACATGTACACACAGTTTATGTACACATAGTTTATATGCACATGTACACACAGTTTATATGCACATGTACACACAGTTTATATACACATAGTTTATATGCACATGTACACACAGTTTATATGCACATGTACACACAGTTTATATACACATGTACACACAGTTTATGTACACACAGTTTATATGCACATGTACACACAGTTTATATGCACATGTACACACAGTTTATATGCACATGTACAAACAGTTTATGTACACATAGTTTATATGCACATGTACACACAGTTTATATGCACATGTACACACAGTTTATATACACATGTACACACAGTTTATGTACACACAGTTTATATGCACATGTACACACAGTTTATATACACATGTACACACAGTTTATGTACACACAGTTTATATGCACATGTACACACAGTTTATATGCACATGTACACACAGTTTATATACACATGTACACACAGTTTATGTACACACAGTTTATATGCACATGTACAAACAGTTTATATGCACACGTACACACAGTTTATGTACACATAGTTTATATGCACATGTACACACAGTTTATATGCACATGTACACACAGTTTATATGCACATGTACACACAGTTTATATGCACATGTGCACACAGTTTATATACACATGTACACACAGTTTATGTACACACAGTTTATATGCACATGTACACACAGTTTATATGTACATGTACACACAGTTTATGTACACATAGTTTATATGCACATGTACAAAAAGTTTATATGCACATGTACACACAGTTTATATGCACATGTACACACAGTTTATGTACACACAGTTTATATGCACATGTACACACAGTTTATATGCACATGTACACACAGTTTATATGCACATGTACACACAGTTTATATACACATGTACACACAGTTTATGTACACACAGTTTATATGCACATGTACACACAGTTTATATACACATGTACACACAGTTTATGTACACATAGTTTATATGCACATGTACAAACAGTTTATATGCACATGTACACACAGTTTATGTACACACAGTTTATATGCACATGTACAAACAGTTTATATGCACACGTACACACAGTTTATGTACACATAGTTTATATGCACATGTACACACAGTTTATATGCACATGTACACACAGTTTATATGCACATGTACACACAGTTTATATGCACATGTACACACAGTTTATATACACATGTACACACAGTTTATGTACACACAGTTTATATGCACATGTACACACAGTTTATATGCACATGTACACACAGTTTATATGCACATGTACACACAGTTTATGTACACATAGTTTATATACACATGTACAAACAGTTTATATACACATGTACACACAGTTTATGTACACATAGTTTATATGCACATGTACAAACAGTTTATATGCACATGTACACACAGTTTATATGCACATGTACACACAGTTTATGTACACACAGTTTATATGCACATGTACACACAGTTTATATGCACATGTACACACAGTTTATATGCACATGTACACACAGTTTATATACACATGTACACACAGTTTATGTACACACAGTTTATATGCACATGTACACACAGTTTATATACACATGTACACACAGTTTATGTACACATAGTTTATATGCACATGTACACACAGTTTATATACACATGTACACACAGTTTATATGCACATGTACACACAGTTTTTCACACACTCTCAAACACAGAATGAAACAGACATATGCATATGCACACCACACACACTTTCCAGATCAGAAGATACACACAAGCACCACTTGAGGTGTTACGCGTCTGTACTAGTGATCATATATATATTGAGTTGACTGATTCTACTCTATTCCTCTCCACTACCTCCAGAATAAGACATGTGTGCAAACTCTAGAGGGCCATGCCCAGAATGTGTCCTGTGTCAGCTTTCACCCTGAGCTGCCAATCATCCTCACTGGCTCTGAGGACTGTGGGTAGTGTAGTGTTTACCTTATCCCTTTAGAATGGAATAACAAAGTGTTTACCTATGTTATTTCATAGTAATACCATTTTACAGTTGTAACATTGTACCATGGTAATAACATGGTGTTTTATTGTCATGTTGACTAGTTCCTGTCTTCCCTGGATCCTTTATGTTTGACCACCCTCTCACATGTAACTCTTTCGCTCCTCCCATCTTTCGTCTCCTAATGGACATACAGGCACAGTGAGAGTCTGGCATTCCAGCATGTACCGCCTGGAGAACACACTGAACTATGGGATGGAGCGTGTGTGGTGTGTGTGTGGCCAGCGAGGCGCCAACAGTGTGGCGCTGGGATATGATGAAGGCAGCATCATCATCAAGGTACCAACTTAAGGAAACTCTAAACTACACATCTAGAACAGTGTGGTGTCAGTGATCAGATTATTAGTACTGTTGGCAATCATATAGAATGTTTGTATTGTTTTCATACAGGATCAGTTTGATTCTGGAGGCCTACATATCACCCATGTATGTCCAAGTTCTATGTTCAGCACAAGTTGAAATATTATGATTTAACATCACTCCTTCTCTTCTTCACTCTCTCCCCCCTCTTCTCCCTCTCTCTCCTCACCCCCTTCCCCATCTCCCCCCTCCCTCCCTCCCTCAGTTGGGCCGTGAGGAGCCAGCCATGTCTATGGACTCTAACGGTAAGATCATGTGGGCCAAACACTCTGAGGTGACAACCTGAAGGCCATGGGAGAGGCTGAGATACAGGACGGAGAGAGGCTGTCCCTGGCTGTCAAAGACATGGGCAGCTGTGAGATCTATCCCCAGACCATCCAGCACAACCCCAATGGCAGGTCAGTGTGTGCGTGTGCTACCATGTTTGTGTGCATGTGTGTACTAGTTGCTCATCAAATGTAAAAAAGTGTGTGTGTATATAAAGTACCAGTCAAAAGTTTGGACACACCTACTCATTCAATGGTTTTTCTTTATTTTTACTATTTTCTACATTGTAAAATGAAAGTGAAGACATCAAAACTATGAAATAACACATATGGAAAAAAAAAAAAAAAAATGTAGTAACCTTTGCCTTGATGACAGCTTTGCACACTCTTGGCATTCTCTCAACAAGCTTCATGAGGAATGCTTTTCCAACAGTATTGAAGGAGTTCCCACATATGCTGAGCACTTGTTGGCTGCTTTTCCTTCACTCTGCGGTCCAACTCATCCCAAACCATCTCAATTGGTTTGAGGTCGGGTGATTGTGGAGGCCAGGTCATCTGATGCAGCACTCCATCACTCTCCTTCTTGGTCAAATAGCCCTTACACAGCCTGGAGGTGTGTTTTGGGTCATTGTCCTGTTGAAAAACAAATGATAGTCCCACTAAGTGCAAACCAGATGGGATGGCGTATCACTGTAGAATGCTGTAGTAGCCATGCTGGTTAAGTGTGCCTTGAATTCTGAATAAATCACTGACAGTATCACCAGCAAAGCACCCCCACACCATCACACCTCCTCTTCCATGCCTCACGGTGGGAATCACACATGAGGCGATCATCCGTTCACCTACTCTGCGTCTCAAAGACACGGGGGTTGGAACCAAAAATCACAAATTTGTACTCATCAGACCAAAGGACAGATTTCCACTGGTCTAATGTCCATTGCTCGTGTGTCTTGGCCCAAGCAAGTCTCTTCTTCTTATTGGTGTCCTTTAGTAGTGGTTTCTTTGCAGCAATTCGACCATGAAGGCCTGATTCACGCAGTCTCCTCTGAACAGTTGATGTTGAGATGTGTCTGTTACTTGAACTCTGTGAAGCATTTATTTGGGCTGCAATTTCTGAGGCTGGTAACTCTAATGAACTTAACCTCTGCAGCAGAGGTAACTCTGGTCTTCCATTCCTGTGGCGGTCCTCATGTGAGCCAGTTTCATCATAGCTCTTGATGGTTTTTGCGACTGCACGTGAAGAAACTTACAAAGTTCTTGACATTTTCTTGATTGACTGACTTTCATGCCTTAAAGTAATGATGGACTGTCGTTTCTCTTTGCTTATTTGAGCTGTTCATGCCATAGCATGGACTTGGTCTTTTACCAAATAGGGCTATCTTCTGTATATAGCCCAAATAGGGCTATTCCTTGTCACAACACAACTGATTGGCTCAAACGCATTAAGAAGGAAAGAAATTCCACAAATTAACTTTTAACAAGGCACACCTGTTAATTGAAATGCATTCCAGGTGACTACCTCATGAAGCTGGTTGAGAGAATGTCAAGAGTGTGCAAAGCTGTCATCAAGGCAAAGGGTGGCTACTTTGAAGAATCTCAAATATAAAATGTATTTTGATTTGTTTAACACTTTCTTGGTTACTACATGATTCCATATGTGTTATTTCATAGTTGATGTCTTCACTATTATTCTACAATGTAGAAAATAGTAAAAATAAAGAAAAACCCTTGAATGAGTAGGTGTGTTCAAACTTTTGACTGGTACTGTATACAGTCGTGGTCAAAAGTTTTGAGAATGACACAAATACTAATTTTCACAAAGTCTGCTGCCTCAGTTATGATGATGGCAATTTGCATATACTCCAGAATGTCATGAAGAGTGATCAGGTGAATTGCAATTAATTGTAAAGTCCCTCTTTGCCATGAAAATGAACTTCATCCCCAAAAAACATTTCCACTGCATTTCAGCCCTGCCACAAAAGGACCAGCTGCCATCATGTCAGTGATTCTCTCGTTAACACAGGTGAGAGTGTTGACGAGGACAAGGCTGGAGATCATTCTGTCATGCTGATTGAGTTAGAATAACCGACTGGAAGCTTTAAAAAGAGGGTGGTGCTTGAAATCATTGTTCTTCCTCTGTTAACCATGGTTACCTGCAAGGAAACACGTGCCGTCATCATTGCTTTGCACAAAAAGGGCTTCACAGGCAAGGATATTGCTGCTAGTAAGATTGCACCTAAATCAACCATTTATCGGATCATCAAGAACTTCAACGAGAGAGGTTCAATTGTTGTGAAGAAGGCGTCAGGGCGCCCAAGAAAGTCCAGCAAGCACCAGGACCGTCTTCTAAAGTTGATTCAGCTGTGGGATCGGGGCACCACCAGTGCAGAGTTTGCTCAGGAATGGCAGCAGGCAGGTGTGAGTGCATCTGCACGCACAGTGAGGCGAAGACCTTTGGAGGATGGCCTGGTGTCAATAAGGGCAGCAAAGAAGCCACTTCTCTCCAGGAAAAACATCAGGGACAGTCTGATATTCTGCAAAAGGTACAGGGATTGGACTGCTGAGGACTGGGGTAAAGTCATTTTCTCTGAATCCCCTTTCCGATTGTTTGGGGCATCCGGAAAACACCTTGTCAGGATAAGACAAGGTGAGCGCTACCATCAGTCCTGTGTCATGCCAACAGTAAAGCATCCTGAGACCATTAATGTGTGGGGTTGCTTCTCAGCCTAGGGAGTGGGCTCACTCACAATTTTGCCTAAGAACACAGCCATGAATAAAGAATGGTAGCAACACATCCTCCAAGAGCAACTTTTCCCAACCATCCAAGAACAGTTTGGTGACGACCAATGCCTTTTCCAGCATGATGGAGCACCTTGCCATAAGGAAAAAGTGATATCTAAGAACAAAACATCGACATTTTGGGTCCATGGCCAGGAAACTCCCCAGACCTTAATCCCATTGAGAACTTGTGGTCGATCCTCAAGAGGCGGGTGGACAAACAAAAACCCACAAATTCTGACAAACTCCAAGCATTGATTATGCAAGAATGGGCTGCCATCAGTCAGGATGTGGCCCAGAAGTTAATTGACAGCATGCCAGGGCGGATTGCAGAGGTCTTGAAAAAGAAGGGTCAACACTGCAAATATTGACTCTTTGCATAAACTTAATGTAATTGTCAATAAAAGCCTTTGACATTTATGGAATGCTTGTAATTATCCTTCAGTATACCATAGTAACATATGACAAAATTATCTCATAACACTGAAGCAGCGAATTTTGTGAAGACCAATACTTGTGTCATTCTCAAAACTTTTGACCACGACTGTATATACACACACAGTATGTCATTTAGCGTAGCAGATGCTCAAAGCGACTTACAGTCATGCGTGCATACATTTTTATTTATGGGTGGCCCCGGGAATCGAACCCACAATCCTGGTGTTGCAAGCGTCATGCTCTACCAACTGAGCCTTACAGGACCACAAATATACAGTATATGTGTGTGTGTGTGTGTCAGTGGAGGCTGCTGAGGGGGAGGACGGCTCATCATAATTGCTGAAATGGAGTGGTTTACATGTGATTGATACCATTCCATTCCATTGACTCCATTCCAGCTATTACTATGAGCTGTCCTCCCCTCAGCAGCCTCCACTGGTGTCTGATCACACACTAACTAGTGTGTGTGTGTGTGTGTGTGTGTATGTGTGTGTGCTGCAGGTTTGTGGTGGTGTGTGGGGATGGAGAGTACATTATCTACACTGCGATGGCCCTGAGGAACAAGAGCTTCGGTTCAGCACAGGAGTTTGTCTGGGCCCACGACTCCTCAGAGTAAGTCAAGTCAACCGCAACCTGACCACTCATACAAGTCCTCTATGGACCATCCACGGTTTAGTCTGGTCAGGCTGACTTAACCGCTTTTGTTTCTATGGCAGGTATGCTACTCGGGAGAGCACCAGCATGGACAAAATCTTCAAGAACTTCAAGGAGAAGAAGTCTTTTAAACCAGATTTTGGGGCAAAAGGTGAGACAAACACATCAGATTTGATCCAGTATCTGGTCAACTGACTCCCTCTGTGTGTGTGCGTGTGCATGCAGGTACATGTAGATGATATGCTGATGTGTTATAACTAACTATATGTATGTGTCATCCCCTACAGGTATCCATGGTGGGTTCTTGCTGGGCGTGAGGTCAGTGAATGGTCTGGCCTTCTACAACTGGGAGAACACAGAACTGGTCCAGCCGCATTGAGATCCAGCCTAAACATGTGAGTCGGCTACAGTAGTTAAACTGTTAATAATCCACTTTTGATCAGATCAACTTTCAGACAAGTGGCCATTTACAGATTATAGCAGGTCCAGGCAGCACCTAGCTCAGGTCAATCCTTGTCAACAAGCAGAGGGTGAGAAGCCACTCACAGTGACCCAACCCTCCTCTAACCTCCTCCGCACAGCGACCCAACCCTTCTCTAACCCCCTCCCCACAGCGATCCAACCCTCCTCTAACCTCCTCCCCACAGCGACCCAACCCTCCTGTAACCTCCTCCCCACAGCGACCCAACCCTCCTGTAACCCCCTCTCCACAATGACCCAACCCTTCTCTAACCCCCTCCCCACAGCGATCCAACCCTCCTCTAACCTCCTCCCCACAGCGACCCAACCCTCCTGTAACCTCCTCCCCACAGCGACCCAACCCTCCTCTAAAACCCTCTCCATAACGACCCAACCCTCCTGTAACCCCCTCTCCACAACGACCCAACCCTCCTGTAACCCCCTCTCCACAACGATCCAACCCTCCTCTAACCTCCTCCCCACAGCGACCCAACCCTCCTGTAACCTCCTCCCCACTGCGACCCAACCCTCCTGTAACCCCCTCTCCACAATGACCCAACCATCCTCTAAACCCCTCTCCACAACGACCCAACCCTCCTCTAAACCCCTCTCCACAACGACCCAACCCTCCTCTAAACCCCTCTCCACAACGACCCAACCCTCCTGTAACCCCCTCTCCACAACGACCCAACCCTCCTCTAAACCCCTCTCCACAACGACCCAACCCTCCTCTAAACCACTCTCCACAACGACCCAACCTTCCTCTAAACCCCTCTCAACAACGACCCAACCCTCCTGTAACCCCCTCTCCACAATGACCCAACCCTCCTCTAACCCCCTCTCCACAACAACCCAACCTTTCTCTATAGAACTATGTACTGTACCTGTCGGTCTAAAATATTGGTGTTGTATTGACTCCCTGTCTGTCTGCTATAGAACAATGTACCTTTTGGGCTACATCCCTAAGGATGACCGTCTGTACCTGGGTGATAAGAGGGGATCAGTGGTCTAAGGCACTGCATCGCAGTGCTAGCTGTGCCACTAGAGATCCTGGTTCGAGTCCAGGCTCTGTCGCAGCCGGCCGCGACCGGGAGACCCATGGGCGGTGCACAATTGGTCCAGCATCGTCCAAGGTAGGGGAGGGTTTGGCCGGCAGGCATGTGGGTTCGTTTCCCACAGGGGGCCAGTATGAAAAAAACACAAAAAAAACATGTATGCATTCACTAACTGTAAGTGGCTCTGGATAAGAGCGTCTGCTAAATGACTAAAATGTCAATGTAAATAAGGAGCTGAACATCGTCACTTACTCTCTGCTGGTGTCAATGCTGGAGCATCAGACTGCTGTAATGAGGAGGGACTTTGGGATGGCCGACAGTATCCTGCCCACAATCCCTAAAGAGATGAGGACCAGAGAAACAGGTGAGACTGGGAGGGTGGGTGTATTTTTACATTGGTATGTGTCTTAACACACACTGTGTGTGTGTGTGTGTGTGTGTGTGTGTGTGTGTGTGTGTGTGTAACCCTTTCTCTTATCTCTCTCTCTCTCTACAGGGTTTCAGGCAGCAGGCCCTGGCTGTGTCCACAGACTCAGAACACAGGTTTGAGTTGGCTCTGCAGCTAGTAGAACTGAAGATCACCTACCAGCTGGCTGTAGAAGCCGAGGTGAGACATCACGTAAAGGGAAAGACTGGGAAAAATGTTGACAAACTGGGAATTATAGCAGTCTTGGAATGCAAGGTAATAATTGAGAAATGTAGGGCCAAATGTGGATATTTGGAGACAAATTTGGATACATATTTGGAGACATACTGTACATTATAAGATGACATGAGAATAACTGTAGGAAAGGATATATCTTATATTTTTAACTAATCAAAAGCATAGGGAATATGTCTTCTATTCTGTGTTTGTGATGAATGTCTTTCTAACATGGCCTACCTGTTCCCCCTCCCTTTCTCTCTCTCTCCACATATCTTCTTCTCATCTCTCCCTGGCACGGTGCCCTCCAGTCGGAGCAGAAGTGGAAGCAGCTGGCAGAGCTGGCCACCACTAAGTGCCAGTTTGGCCTGGCCCAGGACTGTCTGCACAATGACCAGGACTATGGAGGGCTGCTGCTGCTGGCCACAGCCTCGGGCAACGCCAGCATGGTGGGCAAGCTGGCAGAGGGGGCAGAGAGAGACGGCAAGACCAACGTGGCTTTCCTCACCTATTTCCTCCAGGGGAAGTAAGTGTGTTTAGGGAGAGAAGGGTGTGGGGGTGGATGTTACAGAGAGAGATGAGGAGGAGTGAGCAGAGAGTACTGGCCGGTGATTAGGTTGAACTTTTCTATGTACATCATCATCATCATCATCATCATCATCATCATCATCTGTCAATACATTGTTCTTATCATTTAATCATTGATAATTCATTATTGGATCTTGGTGCGCTTTATATGTTTATGATCTAGATCTGTATGTGTCAATGTCATTGGTTTCATCATTAATCATTTTATCTCCAAATTTCTGTTCTGTTTATTCCTTCCAGACTGGACAAATGTCTGGAGCTCCTCGTTAAAACCAGCCGGCTGCCAGAGGCAGAACATACCTGTCCAGCCATGTGTCTAGGTACAGCACTGGCAGGTTGACGTTTATTATCATGAATCTTGCCCTGCAGGCAGAACTGATCAATTGCAGCTGGCCCATCTAGCGGAAACGTCAAAATTGGCTATATTGTAAAAATGTATTGAAACAAAAAAAATGGGGTCTTAATTTAAGGTTAAGTATTTGGGTTAGCATTATGGTTAAGGTTAGAATTAGGTTTAAAATCTGATTTTATGACTTTGTGGCTATACCAGCTAAGTGACCACTCTGCAGAGCTGCCTCCAGAAACTCTAACCTGCACAGCACTGTGTGTGTGTGTGTGTGTGTGTGTGTGTGTGTGTGTGTGTGTGTGTGTGTGTGTGTGTGTGTGTACGTCTTTGTACCAGCATGTGTGTCTGTACTGACCTCCTCTCTCTGTGCCTCCAGAGTGGTGAAGCTGTGGAAGGAGAGTCTGGGGAAGGTGAATCAGTTGGCAGCTGATGCGTTGGCCGACCTACAGACTACAGCAACCTGTTCTCCGGCCTAGAGGAGGCCTTCCTGGCCGAAGACAACCTGAAGGAGACCCACGTCAGGCTGAGGTCCGCCGCAGAGTACCCCCTTATCACCGTGAGTAGATACACACACACCTCTTTGGCACATTGTGGCAAAACGTTTGCAAATGTTTTGGAGCGTTCTTTTCTGTTTCATACCTATTTAACACGACCCTGATTGAACATTTTCTTTCCATCTTACACTGAACAAAAATATAAATGCAACATGTAAAGTGTTGGGCCCATGTTTTATGAACTGAAATAAAAGATCCCAGAAATGTTCCATACGCACAAAAAGCTTATTTCCCTTAGATTTTGTGCACACATTTGTTTACTTCCCTGTTAGTGAGCATTTCTCCTTTGCCAAAATAATATATCCATCTGACAGGTGTGGCATATCAAGAAGCTGATTAAACGGCATTGTCATTACACAGGTGCACCTTGTGCTGGGGACAATAAAAGGCCACTCTAAAATGTGCAGTTTAGTCACACAACACAATGCCACAGATGTCTCAAGTTTTGAGGTAGGGTGCAATTGGCATGCTGACTGTAGGAATGTCCACCAGAGCTGTTGCCAGATAATTGAATATTAATTTATCTACCATAAGCCGCCTCCAACTTCATTATAGAGAATTTGGCAGTACGTCCAACCGGCCTCAAAACCACAAACCTTGTGTATGGCGTTGTGTGGGTGAGCAGTTTGCTGATGTCAACGTTGTGAACAGAGTGCCCCATGGTGGCGGTGGGGTTATGGTATGGGCAGGCATAAGCTACAGACAACAAACACAATTGCATTTTATCGATGGCAATTTCAATGCACAAAAATACAGTGACAAGATCCTGAGGCCCATTGTCATGCCATTCATCTGCCGCCATCACCTCAGGTTTCAGCATGATAATGCACGGCCCCATGTCGTAAGGATCTGTACACAATTCCCGGAAGCTGACAATGTCCCAGTTCTTGCATGGCCTGCATACTCACCAGACATGTCACCCATTGAGCATGTTTGGAATGCTCTGGATCGACGTGTACGTGTTCCAGTTCCCGCCAATATCCAGCAACTTCGCACAGCCATTGAAGAGGAGTAGGACAACATTCCACAGGCCACAATCAACAGCCTGATCAACTCTATGCAAAGGAGATGTCGCACTGCATGAGGCAAATGGTGGTCACACCAGAAACGGACTGGTTTTCTGATCCACACGCCTACATTTTTTTAAAGGTATATGTGACCAACTGTATTCCCAGTCATGTGAAATCCATTGATTAGGGCCTAATGAATTTATTTAAATTGACTTATTTCCTTATATGAACTGTAACTCAGTAAAATCTTTGAAATTGTTGCATGTTGCGTTTATATTTTTGTTCAGTAGTTATGTTACTGTGGTGTATTAGTGACACCTAGTGGTGCAATGCCAGCAGATCACTATAGATATATACGATGCACTGATGAAGGTGCTCAATGTGTGCGACCACCAGTAAAATACAGGTCAATCATTTGTGACAAGTCAGTACTTTACAGTTACCATAACGCCTTTATACCTCTGCCCTTGTTTTCTAGTCAAATAAATAATATTATAACAATGCTTATTATAATAGTACAAGTCTTGTACCTGTACTTGGAATAGTACTGTTGTAATACTGTTGTATGTGGTACTGTGCTCTTCTGCCTCTCCACTCACTGCTCTGCCTCTCCACTCACTGCTCTGCCTCTCCACTCACTGCTCTGCCTCTCCACTCACTGCTCTGCCTCTCCACTCACTGCTCTGCCTCTCCACTCACTGCTCTGCCTCTCCACTCACTGCTCTGCCTCTCCACTCTGCAGCCCAATGAGGATAGGAATGTCCTGGAGGAATCTGCAGGCTATGTTCCAAAAGTAGTGCAGGCTGAACCAGAGGTAAAGTCTGGAATCTCACACCTACAGGAATACTGGACATGGCCACAGCTGTTGTATATAGTCCTACTTACATAACCACTAGTTTAGACACAACCATTCAGTGTGATTTGTCAACTGTGTCATTCTCAATTAAAATATGCTATTATCACTGTTCTATGTTCTAAACCCTACCCCAGTCCTAGCCCCAGTCCTAAACCCTACCCCAGTCCTAAACCCTACCCCAGTATAGCCCCAGCCATCGACTCTACCCCAGTCCTAAACCCAGCCCCAGTCCTAAACCCAGCCCCAGTCCAGCCCTAGTCATAGACCCTACCCCAGTCATAGACCCTACCCCAGTCCTAGCCCCTACCCCAGTCCTAGCCCCAGTCCTAAACCCTACCTCAGTCCTAGCCCCAGTTCTAAACCCTACCCCAGTCCTAGCCCCAGTCCTAAACCCTACCGCAGTCCTAGCCCCAGTCATAGACCTTACCCCAGTCCTAAACCCTACCCCAGTCCAGCCCTAGTCATAGACCCTACCCCAGTCCTAAACCCTACCCCAGTCCTAGCCCCAGTCCTAAACCCTACCCCAGTCCTAGACCTTAACCCAGTCCTAGACCCAGTCCTAAACCCTACCCCAGTCCTAGACCTTAACCCAGTCCTAGACCCTACCCCAGTCCTAGACCCTACCCCAGTCCTAGACCCTACCCCAGTCTTAGCCCCAGTCATAGACCTTACCCCTGTCCTAACCCCAGTCATAGACCTTACCCCTGTCCTACCCCCAGTCATAGACCTTACCCCTGTCCTAACCCCTAGCCCTCGGCTCAACCCCACTCATAGATATAGCCTTAGCACCAGTCATAGACCTAGCCCCAGCACCACTCATAGACCTAGCCCCAGCCATAGATCCAGCTCCAACCCCAGCCGTAGAGGACCAGGCTGCAGCAGCCCCAGCAGTAGAGCCCCTACCAGCCCCTACCCAGGTGGTTCCACCAGGCCCAGAGCCAGGCCCTGCAGACCCTCTAGCTGCCCCCTTAGAGGGTAAAGGAGTGGAGGAGGCAGCCCATGCAGCAGTAGAGGTAGAAGCAGCATCCATGGACCTGCTGGACCTGAATGATAAATGGAATGATGAGGAGGTAAACCTAACCAGAGTCTAAACATCCTGTCATGACTTACATAGTATTTAGAATGCTAATCTAGATTGGAAATCACCTTTTGATGTTTGATATTGAATAATGATGTACTCTATAGGAATGTTGAGGGACAACATAATGTACCAGCAAAGTACTTCACCCTCGCCCACACCTACAGTCTTCCACTGACTCATCACTCATATACATTGCTTTTCCCTCCAGGGCCTTGACGATCTGGACCTGGACAACTTTGATCTGGACGAGGACACCACAGACCTTAACCTGGACGACGACTTCTTAGACGACTGAAAGGCTTGGTGGAGAAATGTCCTTAAAATTACCAAAAAATACATAGTGTTGTTCATACTCCTAGTGAAAGGGAGTGTGTGTGGGGGAGGGGGGATGTTTTTACCTTTACAGTGAAACTGGTGAAAGGTGGGCTGGAGGAGTTAGTCTTTCTGTCTTTATACTCGAACTGTGAAACACCATGCGAGGGAGTTTGTAGAATACTTTGGGTGAGAATGGGATGGACATGGTCCCATTCATTAGGAACAAACGCAGGAAATGTTTTGAAACGGGAAACAAAAATTATCTTTCTTATTGAACAGGTACATATTTACTGTGTCAAATGGAAACAGTTTCCTCCAAATGGAAAACAAGTTTCTATTGGACAAATTCAGGTAAGTCCCTCCCCATTTCATTCTGTTTGCTTCCTAGAGTAAAACGTTTCCCGTTGCAAAACATTTAGCAACAGAATCCAACTAATGAATACACCCTGGTTTTGAAATCTTTTGTACAGTACCTAATCATCCAACTGTCACATTGACCTACAGTATAGAATGACACTTAGTGTGAACCAGAGGGGTCATGGGTTTGAAATGTTTGCCTTATCCTCACAGAAGATGGGAATAGTTTACTTCTCTACACTACAGTACCTCTTAGACCCAAGCCTGGTTAGCTAGTGGTATCTTTCATTAGTTAGGTTAGGTCCTCTCCACAGGTGATGAGCTCGTCTTCAGTATACCTCCTAAATGTCTTGGCAAGCATGCTGCTCTGTCATAGTCTAGTGCCTTATGCCTTTCTGTTTTTATAGGGGACCTACTTCATTGTTATAGATGTGAATCCAAGTGCCTTATGTATGTCTGAGATCATGCCCTGGTCTAGAAAAGGGAATTAAATGTTATCAACTCAATAAAGATGACAAGTGTTTGTCTGAATCAGGCCCTATGAATAATTCAGATTCAATAAATGAGAGAGAATGTATATAAACATTTGTATTTTGTATGTACATAAATCATGATAATTAAACAGCTTACAGTCAGATCCAATGTTGAGATACAGTATGATTAAGGTTATGGACAAATGACAACGTTGAAATGCATAAGTGAATATCTGCACTGCATCGTGTGCCCTTCCACCAAATGATAGAAGACTGAAGCTTGGCGCACCCCAATTATGTGCACATTTTGATGCCATTCATTGCCAATGGACACTTGGCTTGCAAGTGGTTCATATGAGCTCCATAGTTCAGGGACAAAGTTATTCTCTTTGCTTACCGAAACTGTCCAGTTGATGAAAGTTTGGGTCATGGATAGGCAGGCCATTGGAGATAATGTCACAGCACCGTTGGTTTGTTGTTGTGGGTGTGAGGTGTATGGGACGGTCAGACGGAGCTCTGCTGTGATGTGACAGAGCTCTCCTGTGGTGATGCATGGTGATGCATGACGGTCAGACGGAGCTCTCCTGTGGTGATGCATGGTGATGCATGACGGTCAGACGGAGCTCTCCTGTGGTTATGTGTGGTGATGCATGACGGTCAGACGGAGCTCTGCTGTGATGTGACAGAGCTCTCCTGTGGTGATGCATGGTGATGCATGACGGTCAGACGGAGCTCTCCTGTGGTGATGCATGACGGTCAGACGGAGCTCTCCTGTGGTTATGCATGACGGTCAGACGGAGCTCTCCTGTGGTTATGTGTGGTGATGCATGACGGTCAGACGGAGCTCTCCTGTGGTTATGTGTGGTGATGCATGACGGTCAGACGGAGCTCTCCTGTGGTTATGTGTGGTGATGCATGACGGTCAGACGGAGCTCTCCTGTGGTTATGTGTGGTGATGCATGACGGTCAGACGGAGCTCTCCTGTGGTTATGTGTGGTGATGCATGGGACGGTCAGACGGAGCTCTCTGCGGAGGTCTGTTCGTAGGCCTGCAGGGCCAGCTCTATGTATCCTGCCCTCTGGGACTCCCGCTTGGCGTAGATCTGGTGAGGAACAGACACACAGAGGTTAAACAAAGGGTTTACTGGGTATCATGGCTACTGGTGCATCAACCTATCAATCAGGTCCTGAGATACACTAGTGTCTGCTGATTGGGCCCCACCTTGAGCAGGTCCAGTCCTGAAGCCTGTTGGCTGGAGGCCTCCTGGGCTATCTCACTGTTTGGATGGACCTTGTTGAACAGACCCACCAGACTCACTGCATCCTGCAACCTAGAACAACCTGGGGTTACTTGGCCTATCCACAGGGGGTACTTGAGAAGATTAATGAGACCATAGGCTAACTGATAAAATGCACATGAGGGGGTACTTCAGGGGTGGTACAGTAACCGAGAAAGGTTGGGAACCCCTGCTCTAACACACACAGACACTCACAGGTCTTCCTGCAGCATGTCTATGATGAGTCCGTCCACCCTCCTGGCATTGACCAGGTACCAGACCAGGCCACCAAAATGTCTGGTGGAGCGTAGCAGATCATACTTCCCCATCTTCTCTAGATCCTCATAGGTAGCTGCATGCACCTGGACAACAGAGCACAGCCAATAGGGAGAGGGTTTTACTAACTGCTAATGGGTAATAATAACTTAACCATACATCTGGACAGCCTGTTGAGGAGTGTGAAGGCAGTGGTCTTTTACCCTGATGTATTCTGAGGAGTCAGGTTCAAACTGGACCTGGCACAGATCCAACACATCTTCATGACGATCCTGGCCAAACACCACCTTCAGGCTCTCCTCCTTGAAGACAGGGGGTGCTGTGAGCCTGCGGGCCCCTTTAGGGAAGTAGACCTGCAGGATCCTGTCTCTCTCCTCCCACGATGCCTTCCTCAGAGTCCCAGTGGGTTCCCGGATCACTATGAACCGCTCCTGGAAACACCAGGAGACAACCATGGAAGAGAGAACCAAACTTGACAGTGAGAAGACAAATGAGCACTAAATTGTTTGAGGCATTATCATTGTAAATGATAACCAACATTTTCGTTGATGGACACAAACCATTACACACACTTTGCCTGTGGTGTATGTTGAATATAACGTTGGTGGACACAAACACACTCTCTTCCTCTCTCTCCTACCCTGTGCGGTATGTTGAAGGTGATGTCAGTGAAGACGTATTTGGCTGTGTCCATGCCCTCCAGGATCTTGTCCTCAGACAGGACATCGTTGATGGGCTTCCTCTCCGGCAGCACTGGAGGCATCTTCAGCAGCCTCTGGGCCTGCTCTCTGGCACTCTGGATCGCCTACAACACAAACACTGACACATTAACAAGACTGACACTAGCTGTACAGAGATATCATCTGCCAACTGAAATCTTCAGAATGTTGCAGCAGATGTTGTAGACCCATTCCCTACTCTACATGACAAACTATCTGACCTACTGTGTGTGTGTCCGTACCTCCTCCAGCTGTGCATCTGTCATGAGTTTGTACGTGGGGGGCTTCAGCTCCTGTTTGATGGGTCTGAACACCTTCTCCAGGTCCAAGCCTGTGATTCGGGTTAGGATGTCCTGCACCTCTGCATCCATAAACTGGGGCTTCACATGGGCATCTGGAGAACCTAGAAACAAATGAATGACTCTTCAGAGAAGGATGAAGCTAGCTTTGGTCTCGGATCTGCAGGTACGACCTGCATCAGAGCTAGTCACACTGCGCATATTGACACAGGAAGTGATCTCACTGATGACGAGAAACAGGAAGAATGGCGCCAAGTACAAACCAAAGATTGTACGTACAAACCTTCTTCTCCTGAATACAAGCCTCTGTAGCTCAATTGGTAGAGCATGGCGCTTGTAACGCCAGGGTAGTGGGTTCGATCCCCGGGACCACCCATACCTAAAAATGTATGCACGCATGACTGTAAGTCGCTTTGGATAAAAGCGTCTGCTAAATGGCATATTATTATTATTCTAGATATTTTTCATAATTGCACTTATCAATCTTCAACTACTGGAATGATTGTTACATCATTGTTACGTGTTCTCCAAAGAATCTTAAGATGGACTCAGTACTTAAAGATCAGAAATCAAACTGAGGATGAAGATAAATTGTAAATATACAGTGGGGAGAACAAGTATTTGATACACTGCCGATTTTGCAGGTTTTCCTACTTACAAGGCATGTAGAGGTCTGTAATTTTTATCATAGGTACACTGTGAGAGACGGAATCTAAAACAAAAATCCAGAAAATCACATTGTATGATTTTTAAGTAATTCATTTGCATTTTATTGCATGACTTAAGTAATTGATACATCAGAAAAGCAGAACTTAATATTTGGTACAGAAACCTTTGTTTGCAATTACAGAGATCATACGTTTCCTGTAGGTCTTGACCAGGTTTGCACACACTGCAGCAGGGATTTTGGCCCACTCCTCCATACAGACCTTATCCAGATCCTTCAGGTTTCGGGGCTGTCGCTGGGCAATATGGACTTTCAGCTCCCTCCAAAGATTTTCTATTGGGTTCAGGTCTGGAGACTGGCTAGGCCACTCCAGGACCTTGAGATGCTTCTTACGGAGCCACTCCTTAGTTGCCCTGGCTGTGTGTTTCGGGTCGTGATCATGCTGGAAGACCCAGCCATGACCCATCTTCAATGCTCTTACTGAGGGAAGGAGGTTGCTGGCCAAGATCTCGCGATACACGGCCCCAATCCATCCTCCCCTCAATACGGTGCAGTCGTCCTGTCCCCTTTGCAGAAAAGCATCCCCAAATAATGATGTTTCCACTTCCACGCTTCACGTTGGGATGGTGTTCTTGGGGTTGTACTCATCCTTCTTCCTCCAAACACGGCGAGTGGAGTTTAGACCAAAAAGCTCTATTTTTGTCTCATCAGACCACATGACCTTCTCCCATTCCTCCTCTGGATCATCCAGATGGTCATTGGCAAACTTCAGATGGGCCTGGACATGCGCTGGCTTGAGCAGGGGGACCTTGCGTGCGCTGCAGGATTTTAATCCATGACGGCATAGTGTGTTACTAATGGTTTTCTTTGAGACTGTGGTCCCAGCTCTCTTCAGGTCATTGACCAGGTCCTGCCGTGTAGTTCTGGGCTGATCTCTCACCTTCCTCATGATCATTGATGCCCCATGAGGTGAGATCTTGCATGGAGCCCCAGACCGAGGGTGATTGACTGTCATCTTGAACTTCTTCCATTTTCTAATAATTGCGCCAACAGTTGTTGCCTTCTCACCAAGCTGCTTGCCTATTGTCCTGTAGCCCATCCCAGCCTTGTGCAGGTCTACAATGTTATCCCTGATGTCCTTAAACAGCTCTCTGGTCTTGGCCATTGTGGAGAGGTTGGAGTCTGTTTGATTGAGTGAGTGTGTGGACAGGTGTCTTTTATACAGGTAACGAGTTCAAACAGGTGCAGTTAATACAGGTAATGAGTGGAGAACAGGAGGGCTTCTTAAAGAAAAACTAACAGGTCTGTGAGAGCCGGAATTCTTACTGGTTGGTAGGTGATCAAATACTTATGTCATGCAATAAAATGCAAATTAATTACTTTAAAATCATACAATGTGATTTTCTGGATTTTCTGGAAAATTACAGACCTCTACGTGCTTTTTAAGTAGGAAAACCTGCAAAATCGGCAGTGTATCAAATACTTGTTCTCCCCACTGTAGGTATATTTTTGACTTAGGGATGAAGTAGCTCCGGCGACGTGTCTTTCAAGCCTTGCTCCAATGATCATGCCCGAGGTCTTTCTGGCCCAGTGGGATAATGATTTTGGGAAAAAGTGTATCCCTGCATTTTTGGGTGAGTTACAAAAGTCGCTATATTGAAGCCAGTCACTGAACAAATCAAGGACGTCAACCACCCGAGCCACAGCCTGTTCACCCCGCTATCATCCAGAAGACGAGGTCAGTACAGGTGCATCAAAGCTGGGACCGAGAGACTGAAAAACAGCTTCCATCTCAAGGCCATAAGACTGTTAAATAGCGATCACTAGCCGGCCTCCACCCAGTACCCTGCCCTGAACTTAGTCACTGTCACTAGCCGGCTACCACCCGGTTACTCAACCCTGCACCCTAGAGGCTGCTGCCCTATGTACATAGACATGAAATCACTGGTCACTTTAAAAATGGAACACTAGTCACTTTAATAATGTTAACATACTGCTTTACTCATCTCATATGTATATACTGTATTATAGTTAATGCCACTCCGACATTGCTCGTCCTAATATTTATATATTTCTTAATTCCATTATTTTCCTTTTAGATTTGTGTGTATTGTTGTGAATGGTTAGATATTACTGCACTGTTGGAGCTAGGAACACAAGCATTTCGCTACACCCGCAATAACATCTGCTAAATGTGTATGTGACCAATAACATTTGATTTGATCTTAAAAAGGAAAGACTCAACCATTTTGAATGTTATACTGTTTTGGGGCATATCTGATCAACGTTCTATCGATTCCCAGGGTCACTTCATGTGTATCTGAGCTATTGCCCATTCAAGCAGGCAGAAATTTGGCCATTCTGATGTAGCATTGTGATAAAGCTGCTCTCACTACACTGGAAGTTACACTGAACAAAAATATAAATGCAACATGTAAACTGTTGGTCCCATGTTTCATGAGCTAAAATAAAACATTCCTGAAATGTTCCATAAGCACAAATAGCTTATTTCTCTCAAATGTTGTGCACAAATGTGTTTACATTCCCCGTTAGTGAGCATTTCTCCTTTACCAAGATACTCCATCAATAAAAGGCCACTCAAATGTGCAGTTTTGTCACAACAATGCCACAGATGTCTCAAGTTGAGGGAGCGTGCAGTTGGCATGCTGACCGCAGGAATGTCCACCAGAGCTGTTACCGGATAATGTCATGTTCATTTCTCTACCATAAGTCGCCTCCAACGTCATTTTAGAGAATTTGGCAGTACCTACAACCAGCCTCACAACCACCTGTATGGCGTTGTGCGGGCGAGCGGTTTGCTGATGTCAACGTTGTGAACAGAGTGCCCCATGGTGGCGGTGGGGTTATGGTATGGGCAGGCATAAACTACGGACAACAAACACAATTGCATTTTATCAATGGCAATTTGAATGCACCAAAATACAGTGAGGAGACCCTGAGGCCCATTGTGAGGACCATTTTGTGAAAGGTATCTGACCAACCAGATGCATATCTGTATTCCCAGTCATGTGAAATCCATAGATTAGGGCCTACTGAATTTATTTCAAATTTACTTATTTCCTCATGTGAACTGTACCTCAGTAAAATCTTTGAAACAGTTGCGTTTATTTTTTTGTTCAGTATAATAGGAATTTGACTTTTAGATCGTGAAAACGTCTATCATATGTCAGATTTCAATCCTGGCCGATGTCATAAAGTGGGAAGTTTTCTTCTCATGAATGAGCCATTGATCATATTTTTTGCAATACTCCTACCTCGAAAAACATGTAACTTAACAGAGGGTCCACCACATTTCTCATATTTGTCTGCCTCTTCAGTCCAGGGTGCCATTGGGAATGTCAGGCGCCACTCTGCGAAGCACATCGATCTGCAGGTTGAACATGGCGAGATTGTAGACTCCTAAATTGATAGTGCAGTTTGATTAGGCGATTTTACAGCGAACTAGCTACTTCACATGCTGATATTGACTTTAGTACTATTGTGTGTAACTACGTTTGCTAGCTAGCTACCTAGCTAGCCAGCCAGCCCATAGAGAGAGCATTGCGGGTTTTGTAGTCGACTTGAGCTGCAACAGATTTCCACAAATATTGTCACATTGTTACCAACCTTATTATAATGACAAAATGAAACATTTCTTTAGAAAAAATATTGTTCTTACATTCTGTTATTTAACAGTGTAAATTATAGGAATTAGTGGGGGGGCACTATGAAAAATGTATGTACTCACTAACTGTAAGTCGCTCTGGATAAGAGCGTCTGCTAAATAACTAAAATGTAAATGTAAAATGCCCCGAGTCTGATTGCTGTCACACTGGGAACCCAGATCTCGGAAATCTCCGACATCCGAGCGTTCAAGACAACTCGTAACTCGGAGCTCAACTGGTAGAGCACGGCGCTTGTAACGCCAAGGTAGTGGGTTCGATCCCCGGGACCACCCATACACACAAAAAATTATGCACGCATGACTGTAAGTCGCTTTGGATAAAAACGTCTGCTAAATGGCATATTATTATTATAAAAAACGAAATCCGAATGGCAAAGATCGTTTCCAAGTCGGAAAATGTCGAAAACTCTGGCGTCTTACAAGAGCTCCGTCTTTCCGACCTGAAGATCACTGACGTCATGATTTGACAGTCTTTAAAGCACTAGTAGTTTATGCTAAATTAATGCTAATGATGCTTTTCCGAGTTCCCAGTTTTGAACGCTGGATAGATGTATGTTCTTGTCAACATGTGTGTAAATAGCTTCAAGGATAACAACTAGCTACCAGTACCATTCAAGTGATTCAAATGCTGAAAAGTGAACGACAGCTAAGTTTTCGCATAGGCAGCTAACAGTAGATAACAATAGCTGCACATGCTACAAGGTCAGTTGTAGAGCTCCCATTTCTCAGTGTGACGACAAATTGTAAATAAACGACTTACTGCTGTCAGACGGTACACTGCACAGCATCCTTCTGCTACATCTGACAAGTATTCGTGTGTTTTGGTCGACATTTTTGACCCGAGAATAGCTCCTAAATAGGCACCGTGCGGCCATGTTTGTAGCCACCTCGTCGACTGACGTCACCTATTACATACGACGTAGAAATTAGGGGAATCATGGGAGATGGAGTCTTTCAATTGTGTGAGTGTTTTTTAAAGGATGTTCACCAGATGGCGCTAATTGATCATTTCTTCTGTGTCCACTTGCAAGTTGTTAAAGTGGTGATGCTCATGAAACTCTGACATGTACCGTAGTCCTAGGTTGGAGTAAGTACAAAAATGTATTCACTCACTACTGTAAGTCGCTCTGGATAAGAGCGTCTGCTGAATGACTAAAATGTCAAATGAATAAGGAATTTAGTATTATCCTCAAATTGTAAGTACCATAAACATGTATTATGTTTGTCTGACCAATACACAGTCTTTTCTCATTATTAAAATAAATAAAATAAAAAATATATTCCTTTTAGATGTCATTGGTCTCAACATGTTAGCACCCAGGCTTAAAAAATAGCAACAAGTCTCTTGCCTTCTCTCGGCATGGTAGAATTGTGTCTGCTGTAAGAATTCAGATATTCCTATATTCAGCAATTTGGTTGTTTTTCTGCACTGCCGTGTGATGTCTGCTTATCCTTGAGGCATAGCTTTGAGTCAGAGTACTAGACATTCCTACACCATCGTTACAATGTGTTCCTGCATTGTCTGATAGATAGCTGAGAAATCTGTCTGGATAGATGATAGGAACACACACACTTTCTCATGCAGTCATACAAAACCCTTTCTCATGTAGAAGAAAACACACTTAACGTTGCACATTAGCACAGATTTACTCTCAAACACCTTATGATTTGGTTCGTGAAAAATTATCTCCAAGTATTTTTGAAACATTCTTAGTAATAAATGATCGTGGCATAGATTCCAGAGCAATATTTTTGTATGAAAACTTGAAGGAAGTCACAAACATTATTATTAGATAATTATTCATTCTTACCCATAAGTCAGCAACTGAATGGAAAGTTCTATAATGGTAGGCAATTTAATTTTGATTGTACACTATAGTGTATTCCACAATAGAAGGAGAGCGAAACCAAAGAGAATCTGTTTTTGGATGTTGAGTATCTATTCAGAGAGAAAGAATAAGCTAGCTTTGGCAGACATTCTCTGGTCGTCCCTGGTAACATGTAGGAGTGAAGCCTTGATCACTGCTAAGATCCTTCTAGAGAGGGATTATGTCAGACCAGGTGGCTATCTCGCACAGTGAGCCCACGGCGCGCGCACACACACACACACACACACACACACACACACACACACACACACACACACACACACACACACACACACAGACACACAGACAGACAGACAGACAGACAGACAGACAGGCAGACAGACAGACAGACAGACACACACACACACACACACACACACACACACAGACAGACAGACAGACAGACAGACAGACAGACAGACAGACAGACAGACAGACAGACAGACAGACAGACAGACAGACAGACAGACAGACAGACAGACAGACAGACAGACAGACAGACAGACACACACACACACACACACACACACACACACACACACACACACACACACACACACACACACACACACACACACACACACACACACACACACACACACACACACACACAAACAAGCCACCACCATATTATACAGTCATGAAACCAGAGCTACCTATCTGTGCGTCATCATCAAAAACAGCATGTGTCACACATAAATCCTTCCCCCTGGGAAGGGCTGGACAGTAGATGGGGGATGTAAGATAGAGCAGGGTAAAGGTGTGTGTTTGTCAGTAATGAGGTGATGTGTAGCACGGCAGAGTATAGCAGGGCAGACAGTGGTGCAGCTGTAGCAAGCTGTATGTAATGACGTGAGGATTGAGCTGTAAGGGGCCTACGGCTCCAGATGTACGCAGCTGTCGCCCTGCTGACAGCTCTAATCCTGCTACGCACAACTGAATGCCCTGGGAGGGACGGCGAGAGCGAAGGAGAGAGAGGGAGAGAGAGGGAGAGCAAAGGAGAGAGAGGGAGAGAGAGGGAGGGAGAGTGAAGAAGAGAGAGGGAGAGAGAGAGCGAAGGAGAGAGAGGGAGAGAGAGATGGTAAAATGATTTCTGCATTTCTGATTCTGCTCTGTATTCTCTTAATTGTTCTGTAAGATAGAGGGAGAGGAGGGAGGGATGGAGAGAAATCTGTCTCTTTTTTTACATACACTACATTACCAAAAGTATGAGGATACCTGCTCGTAGAAAATCTCATTCCAAAATCATGGGCATTAATATGGAGTTGGTCCCCCCTTTGCTGCTATAACATTTCAATTCATCCCAAAGGTGTTCGATGGAGTTGAGGCCAGGGCTCTGTGCAGGCCAGTCAAGTTCTTCCACACCGATCTCGACAAACCATTTCTGTATGGACCTCGCTTGTATGGACCTCGCTAGGTCCTGGATTGACCCCAAACCTGAAGTACCTAGACAAACATGTAGGCCTACATATTTTCTCACACCGACACATCAAATATTGGACTGGTTGAGTGTAAGGGTGTATGTCAGCGTGACTGGGCGCAGCAGGAAGCACAAAGAGGTGAAACCTGAGTGGATGGGCTCTCTCATAGAGGGGCTGCTATGGGGGGCGGTGAGGGGGGCATTCAGGGAGCGAGTCAGTCAATGTTTATTCGTCTTTCTGCGCGGTGGACAGAGGAGAACTGGTTCAGAGGAGGGTGGACAGAGGAGAATGGGTTCAGAGGAGGCTGGACAGAGGAGAATGGGTTCAAAGGTGAAATGTAAAGGTTTGTGACTATGGAGGAGGATGGTCCTTCTTGAAAAACTATATGACCAAAAATGTGAGAAAATAAATACTACCAATGATGTATAGAGGAATAGTATCAGGTCACTTTTAAGGCACTAAAAGTTAAAATAATGTTTTCATTGATTGTGAATTGTAATGTGTCAATTACTTTTAGTAGGAAAAGCATTTATTGACACTGACGTAGAAAGAAACAAAATCTGAAAGGATACATTTTCCCAAATTCCACATTTTAATTTATCTCAAACGCTTCGGAAATAAGTGTTAAAAACAACCCTAAGGTCAATGCCCGCGCCCCCGCGGAAATCTAATTAGGATAATAAAAAAATCCCCATAAAAATCGGTCAGTTTAAGCTAGAGATATTCGTTTTTTTGCATTAGATGCATCTCAATCCACCGCATCCACCTATGTCGCAATTCCGCATATGCAGTGAAAGGTGACAGAGCTAGAGTGGTGTTTGTCAGACAATGGAACATCCCGAAAATCGTTCTTCTCACAAAACCGTCTGTAGCGTCCAAACGGTTTGGCCTACAAAACTATTATGAAAGATGAGACTCTCACGAACACGATGGTGTTCTCTGTTTTGCTCTATGATCCCCACAAGCGTCTTGGGACTCGTCTGATTTAGGGTTAGGGGTTATGGAAAATAGGATTTTGGATCGGAATCAATTCTTTGGTCCCCACAAGGATAGCTATAGAAAACTGTGTGTGAGTCAGCTGAGAAACAGGGGCATCTCTGTGGCTTGAGTCTCAAGGACAGCAGCTCCTCCTCTCCTTGTCGTCATTGAACAAAGAGGAGTGAAAATGGGAGAGGAGGAGATAGGAAGGCAGAGAAGACAGATAGGGAGAGATTGAGGAGAGGAGAGGGAGGAAGAGAGAAGGGCATAGTGACATAGCGATGGGTTCCTCCACAACTTATTGCATCTTTAATAATGATTACCCAGGGAAGTTAGTGCTCTCACCATACTGGAATCAGGAAAGAGAGAGGGAGAGGAGAGAGAGGGGGGGGGGGGGGGGGGGGAGAGGGGGGGGTTTTTTTTTTTTGGGGGCGGGTGGGGGGGGGCCCCGCCCGCGGCGGGGGGGGGCTGCGGCCCCGGGGCGGGGCCCCCGGGGAGGGTCGGCGGGCCCCGGGCGCGGGGGGGGGGGGGGGTGGGGGGGGGGGGGTTGGGGGGGGGGGTGCCGGGGGGGGTTGGGGGGCCCCGCGCGGGTTTGGTCGGGGGCCCCCCCGCTCGGCCGCCCGGGCCTGGGCCGGGGAGCCGGGGCCTTTTTTGGGGGGGGGGGGGGTTTGCACCCCGTCGGCGGCCCGCCCGCGGCGGCGGGGGGAGGGGGGGGGCGCGGGGGGGGGGGGGTGGGGGGGGGGGGGGGGGGGGGGGGGGGGGGGGGGTTTTTGGCCCCCCCCGGAGTTGTTTCTCTAAAACCCCGTCAAAAAAACCCCTTCATTAAAAAAAAAAAAATATATGAAACCCAGACTCCCCATGTCAGCACTAATTTTTAAAAACCCGAAAAGCCCCCTGTCATGCACTAAAATTATAAGCCCAGAACTAGCCCATTCATGCACTAAACTATATGAAGCCCAGACTAGCCCATGTCATGCACTAAAAAAAAGCGACTAATGTCACACATAAACTATATGAAGCCCAGACTAGCCCCATGTCATGCACTAAACTATATGAAGCCCAGACTAGCCCCATGTCATGCACTAAACTATATGAAGCCCAGACTAGCCCCATGCCATGCACTAAACTATATGAAGCACCAGACTAGCCCCATGTTCATGCACTAACCCTATATGAAGCCACAGGACTTAAGCCCCATGTCATGCCACTAAAACTATATGAAGCCCAGACTCCCGACTAGCCCCATGCCATGCACTAAAGCAACCGTATATGCTCAAACCTTTTTTATGCATTTTCAAACCCCTAAACTTGAACCCCTTTCTGTCCCCCTTCACCAACACTCACAGACACGCCACCACACCACTACAACACACACACCACACCCACACACACACACACACACACACACCACACACCACCCACACACACAACACACACACACAACACCACACACACACACTCATATCACACCAATCACCACAGGATACCCCCAACCTCCTAACCTCCAAAGGAAACTAGAACCAACCAGCCATCTCACCCTGCTGCACCTCCACCGTTAGAAAGGCCTTTAGACTGCATTTGTTTCCAACTAAAGCCTGTCTTGGTTTACATGCAACGCGAGAAGGCCC